TGTAGGCCCTTGAATGGAGAGGGAGGGGGGGTAGAGAGAGGAAGAGGTAATTGGTTGAGCAGACCCCCCCTACACACACACACACACACACACACACACACACACAAACAATCACACACACACACACACACACTCCCCTTCCTCTGTGTAAGCCCTAAAGACCCAGAAGACGGAGAGGGAGGGGGGGCAGAGAGAGGAAGAGGTAATTGGTTGAGCAGACCCCCCCACACACACACAAACACACACTCCCCTTCCTAAGCCCTAAAGACCCAGAAGCCACTCAAGCAGGCTTGGGCACGGGACACGCCGCTCCCAGCTTCGCACCACAAGCCTTTCAATCTGCTTACCAAGTTGAAGTTCTCACAGACTGGGAAATGCAGTGAGCTGATTTGCAAGCCTGGGTCATATCTGCCTAGCAACCCAACCCAAAGACTTGGGGGACTGGAAGCGTGGATGGAGAACAGGCCAGGCCAACTCTGCACAAAGGAATCTGTTCTCATGCAAATGATCCTAAGTGAAAGGGCTTGAAAAGGGAGAGTCAGGCAGCTGTGAGGAGTGAGCTTTTTCTCCAGCAGTTGCGGAGTGAGCTTTGCAGGGCATCACAGGCTCGTTCACTGGGAAGGGAGGGCCGAGGTTTCTACCTGCCTCGTGGGCTCCACACCTACAGAGGGGAGCAGGAGGGGAGCTGAAGCCTTAGCTTAATTTCCTGACTTTCCTGGTCCAAGACTCCAGTCCCTAAATGTTCTTTTGTTCTTATTTAGAACTAAACAGAGTTAGTTTTGTTGTGGGGAGGTAGTGATTAGCATGGTAATGCAATACTTTTCCTGAAGAAGTAAAAACAACAACAACCTCCAAACAAAACAGAGGTGTTCATACTTGGTCTAGAAGGATGGAAGGAAGGCTGAGGTTCTTCTAACCAGGCTAGCAAAACTGATTTCCAACCACCTCTCCATTATCTAAACACACATGGCCAAAGTCAACTTTGAAGAAGATCTAATTACAAAGCCCAGTAGGAATCTACAACCGCAGTGGGATTCACCATGGGCCATGCAGTGTTCTGGGCCTCAATCCCTAAACTGAGAAGAGCTATTTGCAAGAAGCCTGTTGATGGAGTTAAAGATTGTATGCAACATGAAACATAAAAAGGTAATTATCATTAATACCAAAAGTAAGAGTAATAATACCAACAGTTAGGTTCCACTTGGTCAAGATATTTACATGGGGACTTGGAATGTGGCTTAGTGGTAGAGTGCTTGCCTACCATGCATGAAGCCCTAAGTTAGATTCTTCAGTACCACATACACAGAAAAACCAGGAAGTGGTGCTGTGGGTCAAGTGGTAGTGTGCTAGACTTGAGCAAAAGAGAAGCTCAGGGACAGTGCCCAGGTCTTGAGTTCGAGCTCCAAGACTGGGAATAAATAAATAAATAAAATATTTACATAGGATTTTTTCCCCATTCATTGAGTCCTTGGCTTAATATCATGATGCGGAAGCGCCAAGATTTCATGTGAATTGTTTGGAGCCACTCTATTAAATGATGGCTTACACCCCTAACTTCCCAAACAAGACAATATAGCATCTACAGTGACATAGTAAATGTGCCTGTGCAGCTAGGCAAGCGTGGGGTACCTGGACACCCAAACTGGAGATGCTAAAACTGAAGGATGGCTTGAGCCCAGAAATTACGGACCAGGCTGGGCAATGGGTCTGAGGGATACTTAACTGTAATCCCAGCACAAGGGAGATGAGACCCTATCTCAAAACAAACAAGTGTGTGTGTGGGGGGGGGGGGAGATGGGAAGGGATGGGAAGGGGAAACAAAGGAGGAGGCAACAATGCTTGATAAGAAATGTACTCATTATCTTGCCCATGTAATTGTAACCCCTATTTTCACAATTAAATATATATATATTATTTTTTTAAAAAAGCACTAGCATTGGTAACAGAGACCCATTAAAAATTTAATTTAAGGGGCTGGGAAGGTGGCTCAGTGGTAGAGCGCTTAACTTGTATGCCTGAAGCTCTGGGTTCGATTCCTCAGCACCACATAAGCAAAAAGAAAAAAGCCGGAAGTGGTGCTGTGGCTCAAGTGGTAGAGTACTAGCCTTGAGCTGAAGAGCTGAGGGACAGCGCCCAGGCCCAGAGTATAGGCCCCACAACGGGACCCAAAAAAAAAAAAGTAATTTAAAAAAGTAACATTTTCCACATTGACTGCCAGAAGGAACTAAAGACCACCAGGGTAAGACCGTAAACTAATGGGGAAGACCATAACTCTACAAGATTATGTCTACAGGCTCTCCAGCATTAACACCATTTTTGGTTTAGTGTTTAAAATCCACCTCTAAATACCATCATAGGTAGATTCTTTTTTTTTTTTAGTTTACTTTATTGTTATTTTAAAGGTGATATAAGCTGAGTGCCGGTGGCTCATGTCTGTAATCCTAGCTACTCAGAAAGCTGAGATCTGAAGATCACAGTTCAAAGCCAGCTTAAGCAGGAAAGTCCTTGAGACTCTTATCTCCAATTAATCACCAGGAAACCAGAAGTGACACTGTGGCTCAAGTGGTAGAGCCTAGCCTTGAGCTCAAGAGCTCAGGGACAGCACCCAGGCCCAGAGTTCAAACCCCCCAATGTCGAAAATAAATAGATAAAATAAAAAATAAAGGTGATGCAAAGAGGGATTACAATTACTCAAGTCCATTTCCTTTCAAACAGTGTCTTCCCCTTCCCTCACTCCCTCCCAGTCCCTTCCTTCCATCTCCACTCACGAGTTCTATAGTTCCCTTTCACCAGTGTCCAGTGAGCTCCACCCTATACTTTTTCACCCTTTTCCCCTGAGTTCCATAGCCTCCTCCCACCCTCCTGAGGAATCACACAAATACACCACACATAAAGAAGCATGGGTAGACTCATTAAAGAAAAACTCATAAAGCTGGGCAACAGTGGATCACACCTGTAATCCTAAACTACTCAGGAGGCTGAGATCTGAGGATGGTGACTCAAAGCCAGCCCAGGCAGAAAAGTTCCCCAGAGTCTATCATCTCCAATAAACCACTCAAGTGGTAGAAATTTAGCCTTGAACATAAAGAGGCTCAGGGACCACGCCCAGACCCTGAGTTCAAGCCCCACAAATGACAGACAAAAAAGAAAGAAAGAAGGAAGGAAGGGGAAAGAAAGAGAAGTCTCATGAAAGATTTCTCATTGGATGTATATTAGATTAGCCTTGACAAATCTCAAATAATAAATAACAGTAGGGGCACCTTTGGCCAGCCACTGAGCCACACTTCAGAGGAACCAGACCTTGAGATAATCCAGTTTTCACCGATTTGGAAATGTGCTGTCAAGCTATGGCTTCCTACAGGCTGCCAAGGCTGCTGGACAGTACCCTGACCGGAACTTTACTGGCAGCCGTCGGGCGCTTTGCCCCAAAGGACTTGATCTCCACTGAACCCCCACCACGGCTTCCCCGCCAAGGGTGGCCTCGAACCCAGGAGATGCCCAGCCTATCCTCCTTAAAACCATCAACAAGCCAGGAAAGATTTTTTTTTTAAATTGAATTTCCGATCGCAGGCTCCTCCCAGTGGCGACCCTGGGTGTACACTCCCAAACTCAGGTTCTCCGGAGTTTCTAAGTACAATACCCCACAACCCTAAATAAGGGAGCCAAAGTCCGCCCAGAAATGGGAAAATAAAGGCCTGGAGCTCGGAACGGTTTCCAACTGTACCCCGCAGGTCTGCGGATGCAGGTCTGGAAGCTGTTTGCGTCCCCACCACCACCCCAGCTCTGAAATGTGACATATTCTCCTCCGACAGACGCGGGGTTCCCCCAACGAGAAACTCCTAAGGGGGCTTTCAGGACATCAGGCACCTAGGGTCGGGGACTTCGGAACGAGGGGCGCCATCAGGCCTCCCGATCGCCTACCGGGCGCCCCGGGTGGTGGTGGGGGGGGGGGGGGAGGGAGGCAGCCGTGCACCTGTGCGGGCGCCGCGTCCGCGGGCAGGGCGCGCGCCCCGGGCCGGCGGTGCTGACTCAGCCCGGCTGCGGGCATCCCATCCGCCCAGCGCGGTTGCTGGGGCGCTGCAGCAAAGCAGAGGCGGGGGATGGGGGGGGCGAAAGGGGGGAAGCAGAGCACCCTGAGAGGCCCGGCCGCAGGCTCCCCAGGGGCCCCACTGCGGCACTCCCTCCCCACCCCCACCCCCAGAAAGGGAACTGCAGGGGTGCACGAGTTGACGAAATCGGGGTGGGGGGGGGAGAAGTGGGGCGTTGAAGGAGGAACTCGCGCGCCGCGACGCGCGCGGCTCACACCCAAAACTGGAAGGAACCTGTTCTGTCCGGGGCACGCGCGTTCCCAACTCCCCGCCAGCGCCCCCGGATCTTCAGGGCGCGGGCAGGGCCCGGTGGTGCGCGATGGGAAGGCGAGGTGGGATGTCTGCAAAAAGGAAAGCAGCCTGGGAGTTGGGGGGGGGGGGGGGTGAACGCGTGCGCGCGCCCGCCGGGAGCACTCGGAGAGGGGGTGCCCCGGCGCACCCCAGCACTCTGGCGTTCCCACTTGCATTGAAGCAAAGTGCCGGGGTCTGCTGGCCGGCCATGAGCGTCCCAAGGAGACGCGCCCGAGTTGGGGGGAAATGAGGACATCGTGCCAAGGACCCCAATGGTGCCGGCGGGGGCAGCCAGTCCCGGACCACAGCGTAGTTACCTTCCGTGACCCCAAGCCCGGGCAGGCAGGCGGGCGCGGCGCGCGCTCGGCGCGGTCCCGGTCCACGTGGGTCGGCGCGCGCGCGCTAGGCCGCCCCCCCCCCTCCTCGGAGGCGCCGGCGCTCGCAGCACATGGTCGGCGGCGGCGCGCCCCCGAGGCCGGCGGAGACCGGCTGCAGCCGGTATAGGATAAGAGATAGGCAGCGCGACGCGGGGCCCGGGGCGCGGGCGGCGGCACGCACGGCCCGGGCGCAGGCGATCCGGGTGGGGGGCGGGGGAGGGAGGGTGTGGCCCTGGCGCCCAGGCGCGGGACCGGGTGGGGGGCCTAGGGTGTACTGGGCTTACCGGCCGGAGCCAACTAGTTATAGACTCGGGCTCCACGCCCTAGAGGGTTAAACCTTTTTTCATGTTACCGAGCGGCTTATAAGGAGGGGGAGGCCAAGCCTCCGCCTTATTGAGAGCCTTTGGGGGTTTATTCTCTTCCCTTCTAACTTGGTGAGTTGGTTTTAATATTTTACACGTTTAAAAGTTTGATTGTGGGGGGTGGGTGGATTTTTTTTTTAAATAATGCGTGTGTGTTGGGGTCTTTTGGGGGGGAGGGCGGGAAGGCAGAGGAAACCCCTTCACATTGGATCATTTCTGGGGAGCTTATTCCGAAGATATTCTGTGACACTTGGCAGAACCCGGGGCCACCGGGAGGACGCGCTCTCGGCAGCGTGGGCCGCGGAGAGAGTGGAAACCAACCCTAACCTGGTACCGCTGGGGTCCGGGAAATAACGCCTCACCGCCCCGATCCGGCCTTGGCTGGCCCCTCACCAGGCTGTTGAAGAGACTCGCCATCGGAGGGGGTGCTCAGCTCCTCTTTGCGTTTTTTTTTCTTTATTTTTTTGCATGAAGTTCCCTGCGCGTCACCAGAGCGAAATGTCAGGTTCTTTCCTCGCCAGGCTCGCGCGCGCGTGCGCGCGTACACACACGCGAGGCGACCACTGAGGCACATGCCGGGAAAGTGGGGTTCCCTGGGTCGATCCTACCTCACCCCCGTCCCCGGGGTGCCCCCCCCCCACATACACACACGAGACGCCCCTGCCCTCCCGGGAAGGCGAGATTTCCTGACAGATCGCGGATCCTTTACACCTCGACCGACGGACGCCCCCTGTCAAGCGGCTGACCGCGGGGTCCCGCGCAACTTCCCTGCTTCCCGGGGCTGCGCAGCCCGGGGGAAGCTCCGGGTGTTGCTGAGCCGCGCGGTCGAGCGAGGTTTGGCGGGCGGAGGAAGTGGGTTATTTCCTCCAGGGTTGTTTTTCTTATCTTCCACCCCCCGGGCCAGACAGGTGAGAAAGGGTTTTGCTAAGAACACGGTGGAGGGCGTCAGCCTTAGGAAAAGCTGTCAGTGAAGAACAGCCATGAAAACTTGTCCACCTGGAAGCCAGGTTCTGTTTCCACAGATTGTCTGTGCCAGCTCTTCTCTGAAGTTGTTTTGTTTTTTACCGTGGTGTTAAGGGAGACTTTTCTGTGATCTGAATGCTTTTGTACAATCATGATAAGGAAGGTGTCTGGTTGAAGAAGAAGAAAAGCCAGATCTTACACCTCTTGTGATCTCTCTCTGTCTCACACACCTACTGTGTAGCTTTTTGGGGGTGGGGGGGAACCAACAACACAGGAGGTGGGTGACTACCGGAGAAACACCTCTTGTGATTAAGATAAGGGGCATCTGTCCAAGATAGAAACTGAGGGTATGTAAATAAAACAGTGCAACCAAGTGGAAAAAAGTCCTGTCTTAATGAGTACCACGAATCCTGAGTTGTTCCTCCTGTGGTTTCAAAAAAGCAGGACTTTTTTTCCTCAGTGGAACTCCTGAGGAGGACACTTAAATTAGGGGCTTGGGTTTCAACATCATGCTCTTGCAAAAGCCAGCGGCTGAGTTGGTGGTAGACAATGACTCCATGCTGTCTCAGCAGCCTCCAGGTTAGATTTGGACTTTTTTTTTTTTAACTAAAGAATTTAAATGAACTTTACCCACCTACTGACTGGTTTGGACAACTGGGGCCAGAGACAACTTGTCTAAAGCTGTTGCGCTTAGGCTCTGCCTGTATACCATGGAAGCCTGTGTACTGAACTTTGCTCTGAGCTGACTCTGGACTGACCTGAGATGATGTATAATCGATATTCTTCTGCCCTCAGAGCTAATAGTTTCTCACCAAGTTAAATCTCAGTGAAAATCTAGGTAGAACAGATCTCCAAGTCTTGGCAAACTACCCATTTATTCAAAGGAACACTGTTTTGTTTTCTTGTTTGTTCCCTTTTGAGACAGGGTCTCAAAGTAGCCCAGGCTATGCTGAAATTTGCTGGCCCCTTTGGCCCTTTTCTTCCTTTCCTCCCCCCCATACTTGGACCATGGGGCGTGTGTGTGTGTGTGTGTGTGTGTGTGTGTGTGTTTTGCCTTTGTCTTTCTTGCTATTGTTATTTGGGGTTTACTTTTATTTTCTCCCCCCTCATTTTTTAAAACCAAAACCAAGCTTACTCAAGGAGAAATTCAGCACAGGCTACTACTACAGAGTAACTAACTCCCTTCCCCATATTGTGATGATGTATACAAGGCCTAAAAATCAAAGCTATACAAGTGATAACTAGGCAGATTTGTGTGATGCTATCTCATTTAGCACTGAGATATCCCACCAGCACTCCTCACCTGGGATAACCCCTGTCACCAACACTGAGAGGGGTTTTGTTTTCTGTTAATCTTGATGGGTTCTCTCTCTCTCTCTCTCTCTCTCTCTCTCTCTCTCTCTCACACACACACACACACACACACACACACTTCCTCATCTTGAGTGACTTGGGAAGGCTGTTTTGAAGCGATCCTGGCTCCTGTCTTAGATGGATTGCTGCTTTCCGTGTCAGGGGACATTAATGACCATCCTGGGCTGCTCAGCCTCCAGCCTGAGCTATTTCCCATTCCTTTCTATCTCTCCATTTGTTCCCAGTCATGGTGCCTGACATTACCATACCAAGCATAGGCTTCTTTTTTGTTGTTGTTGTTGGTCGTGAGGCCTGAACTCTGGGCCTGGGCACTGTTCCTGGGCTCTTCAGCTTAAGGCTAGCGCTCTACTACTTGAGCCACAGTGCCACTTCTGGCTTTTTCTGTTTATGTGGTGCTGAGGAATTGATTCCAGGGCCTCATGCATGCAAGGCAAGCACTCTATCACTAAGCCACCTTCCCAACCCCAAGCATAAGCTTCTTAAAGCATCTTAGGCTCTCTTTCACTCAGCCAAATATTTAAACAGAGTCTAAAATGGGTATAGCCCTTCCCAAGTACTGGGTTACTGTGGGAAGGAGGTTATCAAGAAGATGGATGATACTATACTGGATTGATATATTGCTGTTCAAGATTTATAATGTGAATCCAAGACATGGATGAACTGACATCCCTGTGGTATTTTCTGTTGCTCTCCATTAGTAATAAAACCTTTGCCTTGCCAGGCATGGCATTTGGGAGGTTGAGATAGTAGGCTTAAGAGTTTAAGGCAGCTGGGCGCCAGTGGCTTACATCTGTAATCCTAGCTACTCAGGAAGATGAGATCTGAGGATCATGGTTCAAAGCCAGCCTAGGCAGGAAAGTCTTGAGACTCTTATCTCCAATAATCCACTCAGAAAACTGGAAGTGGTGCTGTGGCTCAAGTGGTAGAGTGCTGGCCTTGAGCTGAAGAGCTGAGGGACAGCACCAAGGCCCAGAGTTCAAGCCCCATGACCACAAAAAAAAGAAAGAAAGAAAAAAAGAGTTCAAGGCCAAGTCAGGCTCCAGTGGCTCATGCCAGTATCCCTAACTACTCAGGAGACTGACCTCTGAGGATCACAGTTTGAAGACAGGCCAGGCAGGAAAGTCCATAAGACCACCAAAATCTCCAGTTAACCACCAAAAAGCCAGAAGTAGAGATGTAGTTCAAGTGCTAGAGCACTAACCGTAAGCAAAAAAAGTCCTGAGTTCAAGGCCTAGGACCAGCACAGAAAAAAGAGGAAGAGGAGGAAAAGCTCTAAGACCATGGGTTTCTTATTATGTGGATTTATTATTATTTCGCAGTATTATATATATCATTAAATATTAGTTGGGCTGAACATACATAAGCATATCTATAGATACGTTTGAAAAGATATGCAACTGCAGAAATCTTGCCATATTCATGTAATCCAGCCCAATCAATAAGATTTCAGCTGGGTGCCAGTGGCTCACACCTGTAATCCTAGCTACTCAGGAGGCTGAGATCTGAGGATCTCAGTTCAAAGCCAGCCTGGGCAGGAAAGTCCGTGAGACTCTTCTCCAATAAACCACTAGAAAACTGGAAGTGGCGTTGTGGCTCAAGTGGTAGAGCACTAGCCTTGAGCTGAAGAGAGCAGGGACAGGGCCCAAATGCAGAGTTCAGACCCTACGACTGACAAAAAAAAAAAAAAAGACTTCAGTAAAGCCAGCTTCCCTCTGGGGTTCAATAGACTGTCTACTCTTTATGGTGTCATGGCTCATATCTGCTCATTCTGATGTTTCTTATCATTTGAATGAGAAGGCATAGTGAGGTCAGAGGTACTTTGATTGAGTTTACCAGGACCCAGATAGGGACTTGAGGTTTGAAGTGCCTCATTTATCACTGTATTCTAGATTGTCTTAGACCAGAAACCCAAGGCACATTGTGGCAGTCACCTTTGAGGAAGTAATGCTCAGCAAACGACAGAAGTCTCATGTTGTAACTTAATAGTTTACCTTCTGTTCATGTAGGTACGCCTACATGGCACACTAAAATCAAAATCAGAATGTTGCTTACTGAGTGGCAAATGGGAACAGGAAGGGTTAGATGGATTGTCACTGGCCAGTAACCCAGGCACCTGTCCCATAGAAGGTGAGACACGTCAGTGCTAACCCTCCAGCTTCCCTTTTCTAGGCTTTTCTGATTACCATTCCTATGGTCCATCTAGTTTGTCTTCATTTAAGGAAGGTTGTCTTCTTCACCATCAGTAGGAATACTGGGTTTAGTGGCTATTCTGGGTCCAGGGTTGTGCTCTGATTCCTTGTGTTGCTGGCTGATTTATCCCATCCATCACAAGGAAGTCTTCCAGGTTCTTTGTGGCTCCCATGTATAATTCAAAGGTAGATACAAAAACTTATCCATAAACTACGTATGATTTAAATCTCCAGCAAACTAAGAAGTACGGAAGTATCTCTGCTGTATGTTTGTTGAATCCTCCGTTCTCGTGCTATTAGCAATTCTGAAATCTTTTCTTTTTCCAAATCTTTTTATTTCAGATTAAGAATGACCCAAAAGAAATCAAAACTTTGTTCCACAGTCAATGTGTATACTCAAGTGCCTGATGGAGGATGGGGCTGGGTAGTAGCTGTTTCTTTTTTCTTCATTGAAGTCTTCACCTACGGCATCATCAAGTCATTTGGTGTCTTTTTTACCGACTTAATGGAAGTTTTTAATGAATCCAACAGCAGGATCTCGTGGATCATATCAATATGTGTGTTTGTCTTAACATTTACAGGTGAGTACATCTTCCAGCCCAACCAGAATTGGGATGCCCGGCCCTTTCCCACTATTATGACAGCAGTGTGTTTGTGATACATTCTCTTACATGCCCTTCTGGCCCATTCCAGCCTCTATTAAGGAATATAATGTTCAGAGGACGGAGTGATAAGCAATGAGACACTGAAGAAAGAGTCCTGGTGAGCCAGGCATGGTTGGTTCATGCCTGTAATCCCAGCCCTTGGAAGGCTAAGACAAGGGTATTGTGAGTTTGAGGGTGGGCTTCAAATCATGATCCTCCAGGTCTCTGCCTCTGTAGCTAGATTACAGGCCTGAGCCACCAGTGCCCAGCTCCAAAAACAAAAGTTCCTTTAAAAAAGAATCCAGCCGAGTGCTGGAGGGTCACGCCTGTCACCCTAGCTACTCAGGAGGCTGAGATCTGAGAATCACTGTTCAAAGCCAGCCCGGACAAGGAAAGTCCGTGAGACTCATCTCCAATAAACCACTCAGAAGACCAGAAGTGGCACTGTGGCTCAAGTGGTAGAGCGGTTGCCTTCAGCTGAAGAGCTCAGGGACAGCGCCCAGGCCCAGAGTTCAAGCCCCACGACCACAAAAAAAAAAAAAAAAAAGAAAGAAAGAAAGAATCCAAAATGGAGTGCCTCACCCCTATAATCCTAGCTACTCAAGAGGCTGAGAATCACAGTCTGAAGCCAGCCGGGGCAGACAAATCTAAGAAACAGAATTTTATCTCTAAGTAACCAGCAAAAGAGTCCAAAGTGGAGAGTTGGTACAAGTGATAGCATGCCAGCTCTTGAGCCCAAGCCCCAGTACGGGAGGAGGGGGAGGTGGAAGGAGGGGGGTGAAGAGAGGGGATGCAGTGTATAGGGAGAAGAAAACACAAGCAATCATAGGAAAATAGGTAACGTGGTAAATACATAATTTTGTAGATACTCGTGGAGATCTCTCACCTAAAAATATAGACAGAAGTTTCATATTCTTTCCCCCACCATGCCCCTCAATCACCTCTCTCTCTCTCTCTCTCTCTCTCTCTCTCGCTCTCGCTCTCTCGCTCTCTCTCTCTCTCTCTCTCTGGAATCAAACCCATGTGCTCTGGGGTCCTGGGTTACCACTGAGTTACACCTCTAGCCCCTTGTCTCTCTCATTAAAGAGCTCCAAGAATCTCAGCTCTTTTGAACCTATTCAGTAGCCACTGTATGCAGATTGGGCATAGTCCCTCAGGGTCAAGACTTGCAGGAAGGACTCACTCTGTGTTCCTTTTCCCACAGCACCCCTGTCCACAGTCCTGAGCAATCGCTTCGGACACCGGTTGGTGGTGATGGCAGGAGGGCTGCTGGTCAGCACTGGGATGGTAGCGGCCTCCTTCGCACAAAAAGTTTACCATATGTACATCTTCATTGGGGTCATCTCAGGTGAGTGCCTGCCTGGGTTGGAGTTCTCTACATGGGAGGGGAGGGGAGGACAAGAGGAAGGGAGGATGGGAAGGGAGCTATGGGGAGGGAAGAAAACTAAGCTCAGATTGTAGTTTAGAATAAGTACTGTGTGTGGGTCAGTGGCTTTAAACTAGACAACATGGACTAGTTTAAATGTAATATGTATGTGTATTTTCAAATGCCCAAACGTTTTGCTACCACTTCAGCCACAGCACCACTTCTGGCTTTTTTCTGTTTATGTGGTGCCAAGAAATCGAACCCAGGACTTTGTGCATGCTAGGCAAGCACTCTACCATTAAGCCACATTCCCAGCCTGGTGATTATTTTTAGATCAAGTCCTGCAAATATTTCTGCTAGACCAGCCTCTAACCACAATTCTTCCTCTCTCAGACTCCCAATTAGCTAGGATTACAAGCAAGAGCCACCGTCACTCAGTTTGATTTGTTTTTAAACACATGTATCAGTGATGTGGGTAACTTCCCTTTTATTCTAGTTTGCAGCCAGAAAGAATTTTTTTTTTTTACTAACTAGGACTAGTTTCTTTGCCAGTATTTTTCAACTCAAGAATCTAAGGCTCCAAAAAGAGAAACTTCTCTGAAGAGGAAAGAATGATGGCCACTAGACACATGCAGAAATGCTCAACCTCCCTAGCCATAAAAGAAATGCAAATCAAAACAACATTGAGATACCAACTCACCCCAGTTAGAATGGCTATAATCAAGAACTCTAATAACAACAGATGCTGGAGGGGATGTGGACAGAAGGGAACCCTACTGCATTGTTGGTGGGAGTGTAAACTTGTTCAACCACTTTGGAAAGTAGTATGGAGGTTCCTCAAAAGACTCCACATAGAGCTTCTCGATGACCCAGCAATCCCACTTTTGGGCATTTACCCAAATGATCACAAACAAGACCATACTAAAGCTACCAGCATAACTATGTTTATCACAGCACTATTCACCATAACTAAGATATTGAAGCAACCCAGATGCCCCTCAGTAGATGAATGGATCAAGAAAATGTGGTATATATATACAGTGGAATCTATGCCACCATCAGAAAGAATGATATTGCCCCATTTATTAGGAAATGGAAAGACTTGGAAAAAATTATATTAAGTGAAGTAAGCCAGACCCAAAGAAACACAGGTCCCATGGTTTCCCTTATTTGCAATAACTAGTATATATCTGACACAAGTAGATAAGGTCAGATAAGTTGATGTTAAGTGAAATGAACCCCAAGTTAAGGACTCAAATGTTTTTTCTTTCTTGCTATTATGTCTAGCATATTTATAAGATTTTTTTTGTTGCTTTGTATGTCCCTGCCCCACAGTATAACCCGTTTTCACTGTATTTGATGTTGGTATAATTTGTGGAGGGGGAGAAAAAAAATCATTTAAATAGGGATACACGTGGACCCATTGCACCAATGAGATGTACAAGATGTTATGTCGAAAATGAACTTTACAACTTTGGTGTGGGAGGATGGATGGAGGGGGGAGATGGGAAGGAATGGGAAGAAGAATCAAAGGAGGAGGCAACAATGCTTGATAAGAAATACACTCATTATCTTGCCCATATAATTGAAACCCCTCTGTACAGTATTTTCACAATTAAAAAAAAATCTAAGCTCCAAGGCTGGCCTTGTTCTTAGAGAGTCTAACAAAACATGTTTCCCTTTGAAAGGAGTTTTTACAGGTAGGTATGGTAACACAAGCCTGTAATCCCAGCACTCAGTAAGCTGAGGTCAGTCTGGGATATAAAATAATTAAATGGGTGTTATTTACATATGTATGTATGTATATACATATATACATAAAGTTAAAATCTCATACTTTATAATTTTCATAAAAGTTTGGTACTTATCAAGACTTATTTCTATATGCAAGTCTTACATAAACACTATAGATGAGCTGGGCACTGGTGGCTCACGCCTGTAATCCTAGCTACTCAGGAGGCTGAGATCTGAGGATCATGGTTCAAAGCCAGCCCAGGCAGGAAAGTCCATGAGACTCTTATCTCCAATGAACCACCAGAAAACTGGAATGGCGCTGTGGCTCAAGTGGTAGAACACTAGCCTTGAGCTGAAGAGCTGAGGGACAGTGAGTGCCCAGGATCAGAGTTCAAGCCCCATGACCGACACAAAAACAACAACAACAAAAACCAACTATAGGTAATAATATTTTTGTTCAGAACTTTTTTTTTTTTTTAAGTTTTCGTACTTCTAGGAACTCAAAACGGCAGTTGTAGTCTATCCTAGTCCATAGAGAAACTCATTTTCTTGGCTATATGTTTTTCCAGAATGAATTGCTTGGCCTGCAGAATTTAGGTTTCATGACACACACTGAAAAGAGTCCCTAGCCTCAGTCATTCTCACCCTAGAGATATAGAAAAAGTATAAGCTAGTTGGACATCAGTGATTCACACCTGCAATCTTAGCTACTTTGGAGACTAAGAATAGGAGGATCAAAGTTCAAGCTAGCTAGTGCAAAAAAGGTTGAGACCCCATCTCAATCCATAGCTGGGTACAGTGACGTATACCTGTGCTGAGCTACATGAGAGGCTGGGATTGGGAGGATTGAAGTTCCAGGCCAGTCCAGGAAGAAAAATCTGAAAGACTCCTCCACGGATGGAAGCCGGACATGGTGGCATGTACCTGTCATTCCAGCTATGATGGGAAGCCTAAAATAGGCAGATCACAGTCCAGGCACAAACCCAGATGAGAAACAAGACACCATCTCAAATATTAGCCCATTAAAAAAAAACAAAACAAAACAGAACTAGAGGTGTGGCTTGGAACCTACCTGTCAAATCCAAGGCCCCAAACTTGAACCCCAGTAAGCCCCACTCCATACACACACATCCCCCATCAGTAGATGTATCTTTCCAGGATGAGTGCGTGTGTGTCCTTACTGTCTGTTTTGGCTTGTGTGTACAGGTTTCGGATACTGTTTCAGTTTTCTCCCAACTGTCACGATTCTGTCACAGTACTTTGACAAGAGACGCTCAGTAGTCACCGCCGTTGCTTCTACAGGAGAATGCTTCGCTGTATTTGCGTTTGCACCAGGTTGGTGGGCAATGATAGTCTTTATATAGTCACTCGAGCAGAGGAGCGAGGCTGAGGTCCTCCTACATTAACCTTGGTCAGCAGCATGCATGCTTTTGACCATCTGACTAACAAAAGGGCACTGCCTTCTCTTTGGTACTTTTTTCTTTTTCTTTCTTTTTTTTTTTTTTTTTGGTCAGTCATGGGGCTTGAACTCAGGGCCTGGGCATTGTCCCTGAGCCTCTTTGTGCTCAAGTCTAGCGCCCTACCACTTTGAGCCACAGCTCCACTTCCAGTTTCAGATGGTTAATTGGAAATAAGAGTCTCATGGGTTTTACTGCCGGGACTAGCTTCAAACCATGACCCTCAGATCTTAGCCTCCTGAGTAGTTAGGATTATTGGCATGAACCACACCAGTGCTCAGCTCCTCAGCACATTTTTAGGCTCTATCCCCCTAAAAACCATTTTTATCTTAGTCCAAGTTTAACATGAACAGGGAGGTATATGGTTCCTATTCAGTATAACACTTTCTTGAAACATGCAAAATTAACTCCACATTAATTCAATGATTGGAATCATTCCTATTATTAGTCCTCTCTTTTCAAAAGACTTCTATTCTCTGTGGGATTGAGTTATGCCGATAACGCCAGTTTTCTTAATATTTGAATGGTTGACCTCAGCAATTTTGTTATTTATTTTTTATTTTTTGTCGGTCATGGGGCCTGAACTCTGGGCCTGGACACTGTTCCTCAGCTCTTCAGCTCAGGGCTAGCACCCTACCACTTGAGCCACAGCACCACTTCTGGCTTTTTCTGCTTATGTGGTGCTGAGGAATGGAACCCAGGACCTCATGCATGCAAGGCAAGCGCTCTACCACTGAGCCACCTTCCTAGCCCTTTCAGCAAAATTTTTATCTTGGGAACCACAGATGGTGGTGCATACCTGTAATCCCAGCTACTTGGGAGGCAGAAGCAGAAAGATCACAAGTTTGAAGTCAATCCAGGCAAAGCTAACAAGACTGTCTCAAAAAAAAAAAAATTAAATAAATAAGCCAATGGTATAGTTTAAGTGGTACAGAGTACTTGCCTAGCAAACACAAACTGTACCATCAAAAGTCAACAAAAGGCCTGGTGTTGGTGGCTCATGCCTGAAATCCTGGCTACTGAGGAGGCTAAGCTCTGAGGATCACAGTTAGAAGACAGCAGGCAGGAAAAGTCCATGAGCTCAAGGACAGCACCCAGGTCCTGAGTTCAAGCCCCATGACCAACAACAACAACAACAAAAGTCAGCAAAAATCAGCATTGGGTCTGTGGTTCAAATGATAAGAGTACTATCCTAGCAAGTGGCAAGTCCCCATACTGCCAATAAGTACGTGAATAATAACAAGAAAGAAATGTTACATGGGTTACACATAGAAAGACAGAGTTGGCCTGTTATTGCTAGGTGAGTCCAAAGCACTTGTGACTACCCAGGCTGCCTAAACCAGATAGCAAATCCAGGAGCCTTCCAAGACACCTGGGGCTCTCTTGCTGAGCTTATGTTGTGGAAATCAAGGCACTATATTGATTCGCTTTGACTGTCAGCACTGGAAGTTTCGATGAACATCCCTCCCTTATCTGAGCTGATTATGGCCAGCCTTATGATCAGGGCGGGCGGGCGTGCATTATCCCTGCAGTGATGGAGCTGTTGGCTCTCTAAGCATATCCTATATCCAGCCTGTCCCTCCAGCCTCAGCGCCGGCTTAATGGCAAGAGGGCCAAGAACTCAGATACTTAAGGACACACCTCAGGGAGTACCTGGAGAACTGTGGCATTTAATTCTAGGTTAATCAGGGGAGCTTTTAGAGTCTTAAGTTTCTCTTTATTTAATTTACTTTTCCCAAGGATGGAATGAATGAGTGCAACATGCCACAGCTCATAGGTTGGTAAATGCTGGGCGCTAGTGGCTCGTGCCTTAAATCAAGCTACTCCAAGGAGGCTGAGATCTGAGGATCAAGGTTCCAAGCCAGCCTGAGTAAGGAAGTCAGTGAAATTCTTATCTCCAAAAAGTCACCAGAAAACCAGAAGTGGAGCTATGGCTCAAAGTGGCAGAGTGCTACCCTTGAGCAAAAGAGCTCAGGGATGGTGCTTCGGCCCTGTGTTCAAGCCCCGTGACCAATCCAAAAAAAAAAAAAAAGTAATTTTTGTTTTCTTCTTTTTCTTTTTATGGTGCTAGGGATCAACTGTGCATGCTAGGCAAATGCTCTACCACTGAGCTACACCCCCAGCTCTAAAGAGTAAATATTTTAGGCTTTATTGACTATATGGTTCCCATCACAATGGCTCAGATGGGCTGTGTGAATGAATGAGCATGGCTGGGTTCTAGTCCAGGTTTATGCATCAAATTTGACCATTCAACTGGATTTGACCCATACATGGGCCACTATTTGCTGAACCTTGGTGAACATCACAAAGTTATTAATCTCCTTCTGCCTCAGTCTGGAAAAGTATACCCTTCAAAGTTCTTTTGATTTGCTGCATATATAATAATTACTGCATATATAATCATTGCTGTACATATAGTCCTTACTGATTCATAAAATGCACCAAAACCAAGAGTAATGGATAGTCTACCTTGGCCACATCTGCATTGCTTAGTAACATTTCAGACACACACACACTAAAATCTTCATCCATATTTCTTCCTGACACTGTCTCCTGAGTCTGGAGTCCATAAGTGATCTTAGATCTTTTGTTTTTCTCCTGCCTTGTCTAGCCATCACGACCTTGAAGGAGCACATCGGCTGGAGGCACAGCCTCCTCTTCGTGGGCCTCCTACAGTTGAACATCATGGTGTGTGGGGCCCTGCTCAGACCAGTTATTATCAGAGCACCAGGCTCTCCTAAAACCATCTCTCATGAACACCGCAAAGAAGTGCAATATATGCTTGAAAATGAGAAAACAAGAACCTCAATTGACTCCATCGACTCAGGAGTGGAACTAACTACCTCACCAAAAAATGTGCCTAGCCACCCTAACTCAGAGCTAGAATCCAGGGGGGACCAGCAGCAGACCCTAGTGGTCGGCTCCAAGCACAAGGAGAAGAAAGCCCCGTTGTTAGACTTTTCCATCTTGAAAGAGAAGAGTTTTATCTGTTATGCATTATTCGGGCTTTTTGCCACACTGGGCTTCTTCGCACCTTCTCTGTACATCATCCCATTAGGTATCAGTCTGGGTATTGAGCAGGATCGTGCTGCATTTTTATTGTCAACAATGGCAATTGCCGAAGTGTTTGGCAGAATCGGAGCTGGTATGGTACTCAATCGAGAGCCCATCCGCAAGATCTACATCGAGCTCATCTGCGTCATCTTACTGACCCTGTCTCTGTTCGCCTTTCCTTTTGCGACAGAATTTTGGGGTCTCACATCATGTAGTGTATTCTTTGGGCTCATGGTTGGAACTATAGGAGGGACTCACATCCCGCTGCTGGCTGAGGAAGATGTGGTGGGGATTGAGAAGATGTCTTCGGCAGCCGGCGTCTACGTCTTCATTCAGAGCATCTCGGGGCTAGCAGGGCCACCCCTGGCAGGTAATTAAAGTAGATACAAGGTAGATGAATTTTTAGAGTTTGTAGGAATTAGAGCCAACCCCCTCGACTTCCATATGAAGAAACCAGAGTTGAAGGCAATGGTCAGACACTTTGAACAACCAGGTCAGGATCAGAACCTGTGTCTGTAAGACCCAGTTGCAGGAATTTTCTGTCATCTTATTTTACCTAATTCTACACAGAAAGCCATGAATGTGTAACCATTATAATTGCTATATGACTTTTGTACCAAGAGAGCTAAGGGAATTCTGTGTCATTTTTGCTTTCTGTGTGTGTGTGTTGGTACTGGGACTTGAACTCAGGACTGAGGCATTGTCCTTGATTTTTTTTTTTTTTTTTTTTTTTTTTGTCGGCTGTGGGGCTTGAACTCTGGGCCTGGGCGCTGTCCCTCAGCTCTTCAGCTCAAGGCGAGCACTCTACCACTTGAGCTATAGCGCTACTTCCGGTTTTCTGGTGGTTTAATGGAGATAGGAGTCTCATGGTCTCTCCTGCCCAGGCTGGCTTTGAACCACGATCCTCAGATCTCAGCCTCCTGAGTAGCTAGAATTACAAGCGTGAGCCACCAGCACCCGGCTGTCCTTGACATGTTTTTGCTCAAGGCTGGTGCTCTACCACTTGAGCCACAGCTCCACTTCCAGTTTTTGTTTTGGTGGCTAATTGGAGACAAGAGCCTCACAAATTTTCCTGCCTAGGCTGGCTTTAACCATGATCCTCAGATCTCAGCCTCCATATATACCCAGCTATTTTCCCCCTTTTTTCTTTTGTTTCCCTTTTTTTTTTTTTGAGACAAGATCTCACTTTGTTGCCTAGACTAGCTTGGAATTCACTATTGAGCATAGGCTGGCTTCAGTTTCTGGATCCTTCTGTCTCAGCCTCCCCAGTGGTGGTACACGACTACATCCAGGTTATTTTCCTTTCTTAGATATTTGGGAGTTGCACACATAACAGCACTCTGCAAATACTCCTCCAATGCTTGAGTAATGCAGAATATTTCCTTATTGGAGAGATACATGTTTTGGAGTTTAGATCAGATAAGTTCTTTTAGTTAGTGGGATAAGAAACTTTACCCCTCTGTTAAAAGATACGCAAAAAATACCCTGTGAAAATAATACAGCTCTTTCTGTACATAAGAACCTTTCTTTTTTGAAAGAAACATGTACCTAATTGGCCCTTGCTTTATTTTGTATGTGTGTGCGCGTGCGTGCGTGTGTGTGTATGTGCGTGCCAGGGCCAGGACTTGCACTTAGGGTCTCACACTTTTGCTTGGCTTTCGTGGTCATGGTTGGCACTCTACCATTTGGGCCATGCTTCCAGTCCAGCTTTTTTCTGGCTAGAGATGGGATCTCATAGAATTTTCTCCCCAGTCTGGCTTTGAACCTCTACTCTCTAGGTCTTAGCCTCCTGAGGTGAGCAGCTAGGATTATATAGGTGTGAGCCTCTGGTGCCTAGGTTTGTCCAATAGTTTAGATTCTCCACCAGGACAAACTTGACCAATGAAGAATTAAGTTGGCAATTTAGTTATTTTTTTTTCTGGTGCCAGTATACTGTATTTTGAGTGACTTATTCTCTCCAGTGTAGCAGAGATTTTTGCTTTTGACACTATTACCTTTAGGAAAACGAAACACAAGAGGGAAGGTGAGGGAATTTCTGAATGGGGCGAGAGCCAGGTGAGGGGTCCATTGTAGTCATAATGATGGTAACAAAGCGCATACTTTCTCCCTCCAGGTCTGCTGGTGGACCAAAGTAAGATATACAGCAGGGCTTTCTACTCCTGCTCAGCTGGCATGGCTGTGGCTGCCATGTGCCTGGCCCTGGTGAGACCATGCAAAAAGGGACTGTGCCGGACCCGTCGGTCAGGTGAAACCAAGACAGAGAGCCAGCATGGGAAGACACTACAGGACATACCTGAGGACTTTCTGGAAATGGATCTGGGGAAAAATGAGCACAGAGTTCATGCGAAAATGGACCTAGTATGACACATTTTTGTGTGATGGCAGCCGCCCTGTGGCCTGAGAAGCAGGGGAGCCTAGGGGAGATGGGGAAGCAGAGAAGGCACTGGACGCCACTTTCAAGGGAAACGTATGCGAATAGCACTACCAACACCTTTCTTTTCCCTAAGTTTTCCTTTTTGCTTTTTTTTTTTTTTTAAAAACCAAACCAAACAAAAACACCCACTTTCCCCCTTATAATCTAGCTCTGTTCTGTAGCAATACAAAGATATATCTATGTATCTTTTGTTTACAATGTTAAAATAGTGACATGAATTGGGCAAATGGTCACTGTAAGAGCACTGAACTGGGGGGTGGGGTGGGGGGGGAACTATTCTCTGATGAAAGGAAATTGGCCATTCCAAATTAAAACCCAGTGAAGTGTTACAAAATTTCCTAATTTTCAGAAATACAAGTTGTTTTTATAAGACAATTTGAGAAGAAGACTGAGGTTTCTATGAACAAATCATGGCCTCTGAATTTTTCCAAGTATTACGTAGAAAGTAGTGGTGTTTAAAACCCAATGTTTGATTAATATGCAAAAAATAAAACCACATGACAGCATATATAACTTGAACTTCATAAATGTGAAGATTTCTTTATGGCCAGTCAGCACCAGATGTATTTTGATACAGAAGAGACTAAATTACATTAAAAAATGTGTTTCCTGTTGCTTTTAATTATTCAGAAATATGTGATTATAGTGTCTTTAATTTAAACCACTATTTATTTTTTAAGTTATTCTAGGATGATTCAAGGTAATCAAAAGAAAAAAAGAGTTAATCTGCAAAATGTTTTTTTTTTTTTAACCTCCTTTCCACAGTCCTTTAAATGTCTAGAAGAATCCTTCTTATCTTAGAAAGTTATCTCATCAAAGGCCAAACTATAATGATTCTTCAGTAGTTAAAGGCGATGTGTGTTATTTAAAAGGGGGAGAAAACAGACCACAAATCGCCTTAGTTTTTAAATGATCATTTGTTTTTATCACCTTAAGAATATTTGAGGGTACTCTTTGATCAGAATCACATTTCACTGAATTGACCTTTTTGTTTTGATAACTGTTAAAGTATTTTGGTATTTCATTTAGGAGTAGCAGAGACCTTGATGTTACCATCACAGGTTATAAGTTTTGCCATTAACTTGACTCGGTTGTCCCCATGTATCAGGTCATCGTTGTTTTAGAGTTACAGTACGCGCATAGTAAATCTCATTCTCACAGTTTTCTGTAAAGGGGCTCCTGTGAGGATATGATTCTTCTGCATCTCACCCTGCAGGTGATGGTCAATGCTTGCCACTCCATCTAGACTTGTCTTTACTATTAATTTATGAGAACTCAGGGGGAAAATACAACAAGCCTAGTTTGGTTACAGGTACACACAAGCTTGAATATTTCTCTGCACTGAAATGAAAGTGACATATAGTTCATCACCACCGGCTACATTTTTTTTTATATAGCTTTTATGTCAGCCATAGAAATAGGACAATCTTTTAAAGCTTTGGGGAGGTGACAAAGGAAATGACAAAGCGTCTGTCAAAAACAAGACACACCTAAAACAAGGTGCATGTAGCAAATCTCTGTCACTGCTTACAAAAAAGCTCTGAGCTGGTGGCAGTTTTGCAAACTTAACCTGACTTCAGCACTTTACAACCTATTTTGTACTATGAATGTTCCATACAATTTAATATTTATAACTCATGTCCAAGGAATCTGCTCTGTGTCTACTCTGTTAACTGCATGAGAAAAAAAAAATGTATGCCAATTCCAGTATGCCAACAAACAAGGGTTTAAATGTTTAGAACAAAATGAAAACCAGATTATTGACTTGTTCTGTATTAGCAACATTCTGGTACTTCTAGATTTGCAATAAATTTATGGCTTCTTATTTAAAGAGTTGGATTTTCTTTTTTTAAAAAAATCAATTTAGATCATACAGTGTTTTATTCAATTAAAGCTAGACTCAGGGAGACTCCATTCCAATAAATGATATTTTAACTTTTTAATAAAATTGTTTACTCTCAGACACATAAACAATCTCGAGGCATTATCTATAGAACTTTGTCATTAAAAAATAAGACAGTCAAGCTGGGTGCTGGTGGCTCACTCCTGTAATCCTAGCTACTCAGGAGGCTGTGATCTGAGAATCATGGTTCAAAGCTAGCCCAGGCAGGAAAGTCCGTGAATCTCTTATCTCTAATAGACCACCAGAAAACCGGAAGTGGCACTGTAGCTAAAGTGGTAGGGCACTAGCCTTGAGCTGAAGAGCTGAGGGACAGTGCTCAGGCCCAGAGTTCAAGCCCCACGACTGAGAAAAAGAAAAAAAAAACACAGTCTCCAGGCAATGGTGGCTCATGCCTGAAATCCTAGCGACTCAGGAGACTGAGATCTAAGGATCAAGGCTCAAAGTCAGTCCAGGCAGAAAAGTCCCTGAGACTCTTCTCTCCAATTAACTACCAGAAAACTGGAAGTAGAGCTGTAGCTCCAAGTGGTAGAGCACTAGCCTTGAGTGAACAAGCTCAGGGACAGTGCTCAGGCACTGAGTTCAACACCTATGACCAACCAAAAAGAGGAGGTTTAAAAAAAATTCATTTGGTTATTTGTATATTTGTCTTCGGGAAAGGAATCTTCCTATTTGCCCAGGATGGCTTCAACCTGGTCAGCCTCCTGCTTCCCAGGTGACAGGTGTGAGTCACTACACTCTTTCCTATAGAATATTTAAATCATCTAGAAAATGTTACAGTATTGAGACTTTGGTTATGGGTTTTCTTTTTCTTTTTCTTTTTTTTGCCAGTCGTGGGGCTGGAACTCAGGGCCTGGGCTTTCTTGCTCAAGGCTAGCCCTCCACCTTGAACCACCATGCTACTTTCAGCTTTGTATGTGGTACCAAGGAAGCGAACCCAGGGCTTCACGCATGCTAGGCAAGCACTCTACCACTAAGCCACCTTCCTAGGCCCTAGATCTTTTGTTTGAAGAACCTTATGCTTGCTCTGTTGGTATTCTACCAGTTGAGCCACACTTTCAGCTCTGCTTTTGATTTAGTTTAGAGATGGAGTCTCACTGACTTTTCTGCCCAGCCTGGCTTCAGACTTCTAGGATTAGCAGTTTGTAGCTAATGAGCTATGAGCCACTAGCTTCCAGCTATGGCTGAATTTTAAGTGGACCTTAGGGGCTATGTGGTGAATACTTGGTCACCTGTCTATGGCCTTGTTGGGAGATGTGGAACCTTTGGGTGGTGGGGCCTAGTGAGAAGCTGCTAAGTACTGGGCACTGAGACCCACGTCCCCATCCTCTTCCTCTTTGGATGTTCTACCAGGATCCAGACCCAAAGCCACAGGCCCATATGACCACTGACTGAAACTTCTGAAGCTGTGAGCCAAAACAAACCTTCCCTCCTTTTACTCAGGTGTTAGGTCACAGTGACAGAAAGCTGGCCACCACAACTGTCTAAACTCCGAATAGTCCTAAGAACTTGTCTTTTTCTTTTTTTTTTCCCTTTCTTCTTTTTTTTGTGCCATTACTGGGGCTTGAAGTCAGGGCTTTGCACTCTTCCTTGGCTTTTTTTTTTTTTTTATCACAGCTGATGCCCTGCCACTTGAGCCACACCTCCACTTCTGACTTTTTGCTAGTTCATTAGAAATATCCCATCGATTTATCTCCATGAACTGGCTCTGAATCATGATCCTCAGATCGAAGCCTCCTGACTAGTTTAGGATTACAAGCATGAGCCCCCATAGCTGGCTCTTTGGAATTTTATTTCATTTATTTATTGATTTATTTTTTGGTCAGTTGCAGGGCTTGAACTCTGGGCCTGGGCGCTGTCCCTCAGCTCTTCATCTCAAGGCTAGTGCTCTATCACTTGAGCCACACAGCACCACTTCTGGTTTTCTGAGTGGTTTATTGGAGATAAGAGTCTCACAGACTTGGTACTGGTGGCTCATGCCTATAATCCTAGCTATTCAGGAGGCTGAGATCTGAGGATCTCGGTTCAAAGCCAGCCTGGGCTGGAAAAGCTGTGAAACTCCTATCTCCAATAAACTACCAGAAAACCGGAAGTGGTACTGTGGCTCAAGTGGTAGAGCACTTGCCTTGAGCCGAAGAGCTAAGGGATAGCGCCCAGGCCCAGAGTTCAAGCCCCATGACCAAACAACAACAAAAGAAAGTCTCACAGACTTTCCTGCCTAGGTTGGCTTTGAACCACCATCCTCAGATCTCAGCCTCCTGACTAGCTAGGATTGAAGGCGTGAGCCACCAGTGCCCAGCAATCTTCAGAATTTTTTTTTTTTTTTTGGTCGTCATGGGGCTTGAACTCTGGGGTTGGGCGCTGTCCCTGCACTCTTCAGCTCAAGGCGAGCACTCTACCACTTGAGCCACAGCGCCACTTCTGGTTTTCTAGTGGTTAATGGAGATAAGAGTCTCACGGACTTTCCTGCCCTGGCTGGCTTTGAATTGCAATCCTCAAATCTCAGCCTCCTGAGTAGCTAGGATTACAGGAGTGAGCCACTGGCGCCCAGCTCCTCAGAATATTTTTAAGGAAACAGTACATGCACTCCATGCCAAGAGTTCTTAAGCTTTTTCTATAGCCACCCAGATAGTAGTATTGAAGGGTTTGGGAATGGTAATGTTTTGCTTTTGTGATAGTTAATTGGAGGTAAGAGCCTTAGGGACTTTTCTTCCTAGGCTGCTTTGCACTTTGATCTGTAGATCTCAGCCTCCTGAATAGCTAGGGTTAAAGGCATGAACCAGTGGCACTGGTGTTGATTTTTATTTTTAAAAGCTCCCACAAATGGGTTTTTCTATCAGAGATCTCCAGTTTAAAACCCATTGCTTTTAAAGTTTTAAGTAGTTATGAACATTTCTTAAAAGAGCCATGTAAAGACAATTTTTCAGGCATAAGCTAGACTAAAAGATCACTCCTACAAGTATACATTGACCTGAGAAAAGACAGGCTCTTTGTCTTCAAGTTTGTCATTAATCTAGATGCATGTGTTAAGCAAGGGCCAGCCCATCCCAAAGAAAGGCCACCAACACATCACAGCATAAGGAGGGAAACTAGGTCCCCCTGGTGTTCGGTTTTGATAATGACTCCAAAAGCCCACTTTAAGCAAAGCAGAAAGAATTTGCAACTTGGCTTCCCAGGCAAAAATAAAATAAATTTTCGCACTCAAATTATTCAAGTGCCTATCGATTTCCTAGAGGGGAGACTGAACAGCCACACCTGCTGTTCCAGAAATCTCCAAAGATTATTGCAAGGAAACTCTAATTCTGGCCACATGTTTCCAGTAACTCAAGAAAACAAGGATGCTGGAAATCCGCTGTAAAGTTCCACCTCCACACTCCCGCCTCCCATTCTCAGGCCTCTGCTGAGTCCAGCCCTGCTTGTGTCTGCTCCGTGGCAGGTGGAGATCAAGCAGTGTCCTGAGGGGAACTCTGAATCCTCTTCCTCCAATCACCCTCACAAATCCTATCAGCTCTAACTTTCTAAATATATCCAGGACCTTGAGCCCACAGGCCAGCGTCTGCAGAGCCTCCTTCCAAGCTAGGATCACACCTGATATGTTAGTCCCACTGACTTCACTCCCACTACAAACCACCCTGCCTATATTTCCCACTCAGCAGTCAGAGAAGAATCCCTTTAGAGCGCGAGTCAGACAGGAATCCTTAAAGATGGGTGTCTGCCTGATGCTATGACTTTCCCTCTTTTCCAGCTGTGTTGGCCTTACTGACTTTTTTTGTTTTTGGTGCCAGTCTTGGCCACAATGCCACTTCCAGCTTTTTTGGTGACTAACTGGATATAAGTGTCTCACTGATTTTCTTGCCTGGGCTAGCTTCAAACCATGATCCTCAGATCTCCACCTCCTGAGTAGCTAGAATTACAGGCATGAGCCACCAGCACCTGGCTCTTCACTGACTTTCTGACTGTTCCTGGAATTGTTCCTACAGTCCTAAGCTTTAGCACTTGAGGGTCCCTGGGCCCAGTATACCCTTCCTTTAGATTTATCTATGGTATACCCCTTTCCTTTGGTCACCTCAAAATGTCACATCTCTGGAAGTTTCCAAGGTTTCCATCCATGGTCATCCCAACTTGTGGCTTTGGGCCTGTGGTAAGGACCGACATCATGGCAGGCATGTTTGGCTCATAGACATGACCATTTCCAATTCCTGACTGGCCTACCAGTTTCTAATCTTTAACTCAGAATTTGCTGACTCCTTGATAATCTGTACCTTCCACTAGTCTATTATTAGGGAAGATTATCGATTTTTGTTCGGCTATACCCCCACAAGGCTTCAAAAAGAGCCTAACACATAATAGGTGGCACTCCATTAAGTATTAAATAAACTGTGCATGAATGAATGAGCTCATTATTTCTCACTGACCTATTTCCCCCCTTTCATGATGTGAGGAAATGGCATGTATTTATGATCATAGCTCAAGAGAACCTGGAGTTGGTGTGATGTAGAGTAGCTGGATAGTCATAAAACACTGAGAGTATGGTGCTGGAAACCCATTGTTCCTAGATCTGAAGACAGGTCTCAAAATGCCCAGCAAAAGTAGGCCTGTCAGCCACAAGAAAGAAACACTGTCCACGAGAAAGACTGAATAAGAGAGGAGAAAGAAAAATACTACAATAGGGATGCAGAGGTAGTTGTGGAGGTGGGAGGGAAGGGATGGTAGGGGTAACAAAGGAGGCAACAATGCTCAATAGGAAGTGTACTCATTACCTTGCTCATGTAACTGTAACCCCTCTGTATAGCATATTTTACTAGGCGAGCCACAGCCCTTTGTGCTTTTTGTTATTTTTCAAATAAAGTCTCACGCCGGGCGCTGGTGGCTCATGCCTGTAATCCTAGCTACTCAGGAGGCTGAGATCTGAGGATCGCGGTTCAAAGCCA